GTAGGATGGAGAATTGGACGTTGTGGTAAGCAGAATAGATCCTGTGGATAGCTCTACTTTATCAGTTTTACTGTAACTATCTCAGTGTAGCATAGATATATATATTTACAAATTTTCTTTCTTTCCTTTTTATTAAATTTATTTTTCATTAATGTATAATTTTATATATTTGTGAGATACACTATTATTTATCAATACAAGAGTATAAGTGTAATGATTAAATCAGGATACTTAATATACCTATTGACTCAACTATTTATCATTACTTTGTGTTAGGAACATTTAAAATCTTTTTTACTTACTCTGAAATATACAATACATTGCTCTTAACAATTTCATCTAACTGTATTTTTATAGTACTAGAAATTATTCTTCTTATCTAGCTATAATTTTGTTTCCATTAATCAACATTTCTCCATTGCCTCTCTCACTTGTCCCAGCCTCTGGTAGTTGTTCTTCAATTCTTTACTTCTATGAAGTTAGTTTTTCCAATTTCCACATACGAGTGAGAACATATGATATTTCTCTTTCTGTGCTTGTCGTACTTCACTCCACATAATGTCCTCTAGGCTTACCCATTTAACCTCAAATGACAGGAATTTTTTTAATGGCGGAATAGTATTTCACATATATGGAATACACAAAAACATCACATTTTCCTTATTTGTTCATTTATTAATGGACACTTAGATTGATTTTATATGTTGACTGTGTAGTTAGTGCTGCCATAAACAATGGAGTGAAGGCATTGATATTATGACATACTGATTTTCTTTCCTTGGAAATATTCCTAGTCATGGGATTGTTGGATCATATGGCAGTTCAATATTAGTTTATTGAGCAAATGCCATTCTTATTTCAATGTCTGTGTACTAATCTGCAGGTCCATCAACAGTGTAAAATAGTTATCTTTTCTCTATGCATCTAGCATTTGTTTCTTTTGTCTTTTTTTTGAGAGTTTTTTTTTTTTTTTTTGCTATAGGGCACATGCGCTCGCCAGAAAGACAGAGAGAGGCAGAGAGACAGAAAGTGAGAAATCACCCCCCAGGGGTGATGGCCACGCCACAATCCCTTCTCCTCCATTCTCCTCTTGGGATTTTGTGCACACACGCACAATATATTTACAAATTTTCTTTCTTTCCTTTTTATTAAATTTATTTTTCATTAATGTATAATTTTATATATTTGTGAGATACACTATTATTTATCAATACAAGAGTATAAGTGTAATGATTAAATCAGGATACTTAATATACCTATTGACTCAACTATTTATCATTACTTTGTGTTAGGAACATTTAAAATCTTTTTTACTTACTCTGAAATATACAATACATTGCTCTTAACAATTTCATCTAACTGTATTTTTATAGTACTAGAAATTATTCTTCTTATCTAGCTATAATTTTGTTTCCATTAATCAACATTTCTCCATTGCCTCTCTCACTTGTCCCAGCCTCTGGTAGTTGTTCTTCAATTCTTTACTTCTATGAAGTTAGTTTTTCCAATTTCCACATACGAGTGAGAACATATGATATTTCTCTTTCTGTGCTTGTCGTACTTCACTCCACATAATGTCCTCTAGGCTTACCCATTTAACCTCAAATGACAGGAATTTTTTTAATGGCGGAATAGTATTTCACATATATGGAATACACAAAAACATCACATTTTCCTTATTTGTTCATTTATTAATGGACACTTAGATTGATTTTATATGTTGACTGTGTAGTTAGTGCTGCCATAAACAATGGAGTGAAGGCATTGATATTATGACATACTGATTTTCTTTCCTTGGAAATATTCCTAGTCATGGGATTGTTGGATCATATGGCAGTTCAATATTAGTTTATTGAGCAAATGCCATTCTTATTTCAATGTCTGTGTACTAATCTGCAGGTCCATCAACAGTGTAAAATAGTTATCTTTTCTCTATGCATCTAGCATTTGTTTCTTTTGTCTTTTTTTTGAGAGTTTTTTTTTTTTTTTTTTGCTATAGGGCACATGCGCTCGCCAGAAAGACAGAGAGAGGCAGAGAGACAGAAAGTGAGAAATCACCCCCCAGGGGTGATGGCCACGCCACAATCCCTTCTCCTCCATTCTCCTCTTGGGATTTTGTGCACACACGCACACGCACCCGGTGTGAGTTTAAGCCACTGGGTCAGGGACTCAAACTGGTCGACTACATGGGAGTCCAGAGACATAGCCCTTACTCTAACTGCTGGTCCCACTTTCATCTTTTTGATAATAGTTATTTTAACTGGGGTGAGATGATATTTTATTGTGGTTTTGATTTGCATTTCCTTATTGATTAATGATGTTGAGTATTTTTTCATGTGCTTGTTGGTCATTTGCATGTCTTCTTTTGAGAACTGTTCACACAGGTAATTTCCCTTTTTTATTTTTTTTAATTTTTTTGCCACAGGGCATGTGTATCTACTGGAGAGAGACAGAGAACAACAGAAAGAGAGGAACAGAAGGATAGCCATGCTGCAATCTCTTTTTCTTTTCTCCACTCTACTCTTGGGATTTTGAGCATGAACATATACACACACACCTGGTGTGTTTTTTAAGCTGCCAGGTCTGGGATTTGAATTGCAGATTTAGCCATGAGGAATCCATCACCTTAACCACCACTTTACCTACTGGCCCATTTACCTATTTTTTAATTGGTTATTTTATACTTTTCTTTTTTTTTTTTTTCCCTTACAGTATGTGCACTTGCCAGAAAGAGACAGACAGAGAGAAAATAAGAAATGATACCACAGGGGGGGATGTCCATGCTGCAATCCCTTTTCCTCCTGTCTCCTCAGAATTTTGGGCATGCATGCACATGCACGTAGTGTGATTTTCAAGCCACCAGGTCTGGGACTTGAACCACACAGTCAACCATGTGCTATTCATGTCACCTTAGCTTCCCTGTTACTGCTGGACCAGGTTATTTGATATTTTTCCTGCTGCTGAGTTATTTGAATTCCTTGAACATTTTGGTTATTAATCCAACATTTTGGTTATTAATAACATTTGGTTATTAATCCCTCAGTTGCATAAGTTGAAAATACTTTCTCTCATTCTGTGGGTTGTCTCTTCACTCTGTGATTGGTTTCTTTACTGTGCAGAGTTTTTCAGTGTGGTATAATCCAATTTGTCCATTTTTGCTTTGATTCCTGTGCTTTGAGAGTTTATTCAATAATTCTTTGCCCATACTAAAGTCCTGAAGTGTTTCACCTATATTAATTTCAGTAGTTTCATGCTTTCACATTTTAATCCATTTAGAGTTGTTTTTTGATATGTCTAGCTTCATTCTTCCATATATGGAAGTCCAGTTTTCTCAGCACTATGTATTAAATATAATTTGTCCTTTCCACAATGTTGTTATATATTTTTTTAAAATTAACTGGCTTAATATTTGTAGATTTATATTAAAGTTCTCTGTTCATTCTATTGGTCTTTCTTTCTTTTTAATATCCCTGAGAGTCCTACCTTTTTTAACTTTTTGATTTATTTCTTTTATCTTGATTTAATGTAGTCTCACTTTAGCAAGAATAGAATATATATGTATATATATATAATATATATTTCTGTTTAATCATTGAGTATTGAAATTTAAATAATTTTGAGTAATAATGTATTTTAACAGATATTTTAACATTAGTAATTTATTTTGGAAAAAATCAAATAAAATCAATCAGTAAATTAGGGATTCAAATATCATATTTATGAAATCTTACCTTTTAAAAATATTTATTTTGCTGTTTTAACATGACTTCACCAAAAAAAAAAAAAACATGATTTACCTTAAATAAACAACAAAAAATGCCATGTAGAAATGTATCTTTTGTGGATCATATTTAACTTGTCTACTTAAAAAAAAAAAAAAAAGATGCCAGAGGGTGTGTGTGCTTTCCAGAGAAAGAGAAACACGCAGGAGTCAGGGGAGATAGCACCTTCTAATGGGGTGTGGTTATTCCAAGATCCCTTCACTTTCATTTCTCCATCTTGTCAGAATTTTGGACATGCAAAAACATATGTCCAGTATGCTTTTCAAACTCCTTGGTCTAAGATTTGAACTACCATTGGCCATGTGAGATCTGGCTCTTTTAACCACTAAGCTGTGGGGCCAGCCTCATATTTATTTTTATAGCACAGATTCAGTTAATCAGGTCTATCAAGGTCACCTCCAAAATCTCTCCAATCCATTCACATTTCACCATCTCTATTGCCACCAACCTTATTCAAGAAAACACAGTTTTTTCTCCTAGGTGATAAAAGCAGTCTTCAATATCCATTTTTGGTTCACTCTAATCCATTTCTACAGAGAAACTAGAATAAGTTTTGTAGTAAAGCCAAATAAAACTAATCTTATTATGTGACACTCCAGTCTAAAATAAATCATGGTTTTTCATTGTTCTAAGGCTAAAGACCAAACTCTGTGAGAGAGCCTTATGACTTCCAACCACTGATTCCGTCTGTGGGAGTATACCTTCTATTCTTTCACATGCTTTTTGTAATAATTATTGTGTATTCTGTCTTTGGCTATTCCTCAGATGATAGATTCCTCTCTGGCCGCCTTCCAGTTCTTCATCTTCACATGCCTTCTTCTTCTTTTTTTTTTTTTTTTTTAATAGTTTATACACCACCTTCTTAAAGAGCAGATTCCTAACTGTGTATGTGTGTTGGTGGTATAGTGGTTAGCATAGCTGCCTTCTAGCTATGTATACTTAGTGCTTCCCATCTTGGTCCTTTATAACATATACCACAGTTAGCCTCCTGCTGGGAACATAAGTCATATGACAGCAATATATTGCCTATCTTGTTCTTGGGTATTATCTCCAGTTAAAAATATAGTAGAAACTCAATATTGCCTGAAAACAAAACAAAACAAAAAGAATAAATATGAACCTTTTTCCTGGTTTATAATCTCAATTACGAATAATTTACTACAATATCTATAAACAAGTTGAGGTGAAATGCTTGCTTTCCTGGATATATACATACTCATGTTTTTTGTCTCTGTACCAACAGAACAGTCTTGTCCGAGTGGCCTAGTTTTCAAGTACAATGTAAAAGCCTGTAATAGTTCTTGCCGATCATTGTCAGAGAGAGATAGGAGCTGTGATGTAGAAGATGTTCCAGTTGATGGATGCACCTGCCCTGATGGAATGTACCAGAATAATGAAGGAAACTGTGTTCAGAAATCTCAGTGTGACTGCTATATAAATGATGAGGTCATGCAACCAGGCAAACTCATCCATATTGATGACAATAAGTGGTATGGAAATATATACTTGTTATGACTTTGAAATCAAGGGACCACATTTGCTTTCAGAAAAGTAGTCTTTTGCTAGTATAAAATCTTCTTTAGACTTGCCACACATTTGATTTATTTTTTCTTACTAAGGTTACTTATTACTCCTTTTATTCTAGAGGATCCATTGCATCCTAATGGCTATAAACAATTTAGTTTGTTCTGGTTTATTTGTTTGTTTTAACATTTTTTATTACCTTTTAAAATTTGCATTTAATCAGTATACATCTTTATAGTGTAAAAAATTGTTTTTCCTAGCATGAATATAGAGTATTACAATCAAGTTAAAGATATTATCATATACATTATTATCAATGGATATATTTTCATTTTTGAGTTTGTTAAATGCTTCTCCCTCTCTCTATTCCCTCCACCCCCCACCATCCCCTCCCACCAACCCTCTGGTTTGGTTTTAAACGTCAGCAGAAAAAGAATGAGATAAATAAATATTATCATCTTGTACTCACAAAGTAAGCAGGGTGCTGAGTGTCAAGTGGAGATTTTAATACTAAAATATAGTAGCAGAAGGGGCAAGTCACTACCTGAGAAGATTAATGGAAATTTTTCTTAGGAAACTGGTCTTTGAGTTGTCCTAAGGGAAGAGTCTTTTTCCAGGAGAAGTTGAAATATGCAGGATGATTTCCTGCAGAGGAAACAATGCACTAATGTAGAAAATGCGTGAGAAAGCACTGCAACATGTAGGCTCTTGTTGCATGGGACTGGGCTAGAAATAGTCAATGAATAGGCCATAGTGGAACCAGCAGTTAGCATAATGACTATGTCGCTGGACTCCCACATAGTCGACCGTGTTTGTGTCCTAGACCTGGTGGCTTAAAACTCACGCCGGGCACGTGTGCATGCGTGCCCAAGGTCCTGAGAGGAGAATGGAGGAGAAGGGATTGCTGTGTGACCATCCCCCCTGGGGGGTGATTTCTCGCTTTCTGTCTCTCTATCTCTCTCTGTCTGGCAGGCACATGCGCCCCCCTATAGCAAAACCCTCCCCCCCCCAAAAAAAAATAGGCTATAGTACAGAATTAGACTAGTTCTTGAAAAGCAGAAAGATTTTTCTAATTTTATAATGGCTGAGGAGGCTGTGATTTCTGCAGTTTAGAGCAAAGTAAAGTAACTTAACCTATTTCTAATTTTACCAACAGACACAGGCATTCAGACAACACTACTGCAAAAATAACCATTCTAAGAAACTTTGGATGTGCCTTCTCTCTCTTTTTTTAGTGTTGGGGAACTATTACTTAGCAATAAACATTTTGTCTTGGTCATTCAAAAGGAAAATATAGCCTCCCTCTTTCCATCAAAGGTCCCAAACCTTTAGCTGGGGTTAGATAATGACCCTTTCTTTTCCCCTGTGTTTGTTGAGGAAACAAGAGATTAACAATGAGTGTCAGGTTAGCTCCTCCAAATAATGGTCCCTTTTGCCAATATCCGATTGCGGAAGATTGCAGAACCCATCAGCTCTCACTGGCTCCACTGCTGTAGGTACCTTGACTGCCTTTTGTCCTGTCTGTCTGGATCTCATATTTCCTGCACTGCTGCTAGAATGTCTGACCTAAAGCATTAATTCTGATCATGCCACTTTCCTGTTCAGAAATCTTAATGACTGACAGTTGCCTGAAGAATAGGAACAAAGTTGCAAGTCGCTAAAGGCCATCCAAAATCTGAGGCCAATTTACTTTTACCATTTCTCCCCATTGGGCCTCCTACAGTCTGTCTTGTTCTTTCCTGCATCACAGTTTTGCATCTCTATTGACTTACTTATCCATCCATCAAGATCCAGACATCATTCACAGGAAGTTCTCTTCAATGTCCATAGAACTTTGTACCTTCCTGTAATACTTAAAATTTGTATCTTATAAATGTTCTAGGAACTGTATCTTATTTACCCATCTATTGTCCTTGAAATGTGTTGCCTAACTGTATAGTTTTCTTTTATTTTTAGTGTCTGCCGGGATGGACTTCTTCTTTGCCAGACTCCCATTGATTTAACCCTAAGTAAGTATTGAAAGCATGGTTAAATTAAAATACCTACTTTGGTTAAAATAAGCAAATCAGAAGTCCTGTTATTAAACATAACTTCCTTTATCCTGTAGAAAATTGTTCTGGAGGGGCTGAGTATGTGGACTGCAGGGATCCCAAGGCACAGAGGAGAACCGAGAGTACATGTAGCACTCGGAACATACCCGTTTTCAATGTGAGTAATGTGACATTAGAGCTTAGATTTTTAAAACTTTTAATTGTTTCAGGACAGAAGGAAACTAAAATGTCCATAAAAATGATTTAAGCATCGTGATTTTGAGCTGTCTAAATGTTGGCTCTATGTATATACTTGGCACGTGTATGTATTTAACTTATTCTGATCATATGACACGATTACCACAGTGCCTCATGGTGTATATTTTATATTTATCCCTGTAGGAGGACTTGCCTTGCAAACGTGGGTGCTACTGTCCAGAAGGAATGGTTCGAAATTCTAAAGGGATCTGTGTCTTTCCTGATGATTGCCCGTGCTCTTTTGGTGGACAAGAATATGACCAAGGAAGTGTCACTTCGGTTGGGTGCAATAAATGGTACAAAATAAAGGATTACTGTTTTACTTGCTTTGGATATTGGAAGATGAAGTTGTAATAAAGAAGTCATACATAGGAATATTTTTAAAATATGGCCAAGGCCAGCAGGTGGCATGGTAGTTAAGGTACTGGACTCCCACATGGCTCACCATGGTTCAATTCCCAAACCTGGTGGCTTGAAGGTCACACTGGGTGCATGTGCATGCATGCATGCCCAAAATTTTAGGAGGAGCATGGAGGAGAAGGGATTTGTGATGTGGCTATCCTCCCTGGGGGGGGGTCTTTTCTCACTTTGCCTCTCACGTGTCTCAGACAAGGGCATGTGCCCAAGGGCAAAAACCTTAAAAATAAATGAATGAATAAATGAAAATAAGGCCAAATGTAGTTTAAAAATATGTTAATTTTAATAGAAGGCTTATATAGCATTATGTATAATGAATATCATACAATATAATAGGGACAACTGCAAAATTTAATTCAGTACAAAGTATTCTGTGCTTCACTATAAAAACAAAGTGAGTATATGAATCTTGGTATTAGCTAGTTACAATACTCTCTCATTTCTTCCTTTTAGTACTTGCATTAAAGGGTCTTGGAACTGTACACAAAATGACTGTCAAACCACCTGCCACATCTACGGGGAAGGTCATGTTAGAACTTTTGATGGACGAACTTACAGCTTTGATGGTCTCTGCCAGTATTCGTTCCTTGAGGTAAGTACAATCATCTTTATATACATATATATGTATAATTTTTCTGTTTACTCATGGATGAGTCCTAGGGAATTTTATTTTCAAAATGGAAAAAATGTGTGTAAAAGGCTCTTTCCTCTCCCCCAGAGGGAGTAAAATTTTACACAGTGTAACGCTGACTGTAGAAGTTAGGCTAGATTTTAATACTTAATCCACTTATCAGATGTGTGGCCTCTAGGCGTATTCTTTGACTTCTGTGTGTCTTCATTTCTCTTTCTATAAAATGGGCATGGCACTAGCCCCTACTTGAAACCAAACTATTGCACACATTGGAGTCCATACTAAGTGCTCAGTAAATGTTATATATTCTTAATCTAACAACAGCAGTAGCAGTAACAATGACAGATAGCATTTTATGAGTGTTTCTTTGTCAAGTAAATTTATATATTTTATTGCATTTAATCATTCAAATACTGTAAGACTAATATTACTATTCCTATAGCTCGGGTGAAGAAATTGAGGTTTAGGGAAATTATGCAATTAAACTATTAAGCTTAAAATGTCATATTCAAAAACAGATCTGTCTGATTCCAAAGTTTGTCCTTGTTATATACTGCTTTCTTTTTTCTCTCTTTCATTTATTTATTTTTACATTTTTCCACAAATGTTTACTTTACATAGCAAAAAATTTTAGCTCATACTCCATATATACTGCTTTCTAAGTAACATCTACTAAATAAAATTTGGATAGCTTTATAAATGTATGCATTAGTTTTGGTTGAATTAAGTTATTGAGGGGAAAAGATGACACCTTCACCTAGCTATTTGCAGAGCTCAGATATAAATCTGTGATTACAAACATATATAAATAGGTAGACATCAGTGGTATGGTATAATTCTCAATCTACATAGAAGGAATGACAAAGGACTGAGTTGGAGCAAGTTAACTGGGTTATAATTGGCCAAGGCTACCCACCTATTAATGCAGTTAGATTTTTATCTTTTGGAAATTTCACAGCACAGCATTTAGTAAGGTATTGAGTTTTAGACATCACCCTGTAAGAAATATTTTTCTGACACAAATACTGCAGTTAAGTTTTATGTTCCTAATATTTATAAACTATTACTATAATTTAAATTTTAAAGGATTATTGTGGTCGTGAAAATGGCACATTCCGCATTTTAACTGAGAGTGTCCCATGCTGTGGAGATGGCCTTACATGCTCAAGAAAAATCATAATTGCTTTTCAGGTATAGTGCTATTTCTCTTTACTTCCTTTTTCTCTCAGCTCATGAGCGGCCAAATAAAGCTGTCATTGTTAAGTCTATCTTTTCATTTATAGGACCAGAACATTGTCTTGCAAGATGGTAAAGTAACAGCAATCAAAACTACAGAAAGTAAAGAATGTGATGTCAATACAAATGCATACTCCTTACATACTGTTGGCTTGTATTTGATTCTGAAATTTCCAAATGGATTAATTGTGATTTGGGACAAAAATACAAGACTCTCTGTCATACTGGATCCACACTGGAATGTATGTATATGACTAACAAGTGATTAATCATTTCTGTTACTGAAAATTAGTGTTGTCTTTTCAGATTGATTGCCTATTTTTCAACTATATTATTAGTGTTTTGTGGGCAAGCTGGATTTCTTATATATTCTTTTTGATTTTTAAATTTTGCCAGAGAGTGTGTGCGCTCACTGGAAAGACAGAAGGACAGAGAGGGAAAATGAGAAAGCACCCTCCATGGGAATAGTCACACTTCAGTCCTCTATTTCCTCCTCCTCTTGGGAGTATGAGCATGCACCCACATACACCTGACATGCTTTTCCAGCCATCAAGGTATGGGACTTGAATAATGCAACTGGACATGTAGGACCCAGCCACCTTAACTGCCATGCTACTAGCTGGCCCAAGTTCCTTATATATTTTGATTATCTTGATAGTAATGGTAGATACTAGAAGCTGTATAGAGGGTGGGTAGTGTTGAGGATACTATAATTAACAGACACAAGGTTGCATGTAAACAAGTGAAATAGGGATGGAACAATATACTCACAGCTGAGTAAAATATGTTAACAAAATATACTTCAAAAAAACTATGCTCAATATAATGTAATGGTCAATATTAAGGATGAAAAATATATTTATAGTCTTGATTTGATTATTACATACTATAACATAATCATGCTTTTAAAAACTATGTGGAAATCCCACAAAGGTGTACAATGATTATATGTAAATCAGAAATCACACTAAAGCAGGAAAATTAGGGCTAGCTCTATGGCCTAGTGGTTAAGGAAGCTGATCTCGTATGGTGAGTAGTAGTTCAAATCCTTCCCCCAGTGACATGAAAAATACCTGCACACATGCACATACCTGCTCCGAATTCTGATGAACAAATGGAGGGGATGAGACTGTGGCATAACAACACCTATTGGGGGATGTTTTCTCTTTCTCCTACTCTGTTTCTCTTTCTAAAAAAAAAAAGAAAGAAAAGAAAAGAAAATGGGAGACAATTATTCAGGAGTGGAATGTAGGAGAATGAGAAAGACTCCATTACGGTGACAAGCCCTGTACCCCTTGTCAGTCTTATTAGGCAATATAAAATATAACTGAAGATGATAAATCTGGTAGAAATGTAAGTACAATAAACCCAAGACATCTGACTTTAACCATATTTGGTCACTTTAAAGTTATTACATGTCATGATTTTGAAATAGTTGGATATATTTTTAATTAAATGTATTTCCTGGAACATATAAAAATGTAATAGTATTCTCATTTATAATTTGAAACTAGCAAATATCATTTTAAAAATTTCTTTAATATTTTATCAATGATATAGCTTTGGATTACATTTAAAGATGTACAATATGGTTTTAAAAGAATGGATATAGTGTGTGATAATTATTTTTGAATCTTAGGATGTTTACTCTACTTAATACTAAAGCATTTTAAGATCTGGAATACTTCATATTAAATAGAAGTAGAATCTGGGGCCAGCAGATGGCAAAATGGTTATGTCACTGGGCTCACACTTAGTCAACTGTGGTTTGAGTCCCAGATCAGGCAGCTTAAAACTCAGGCTCAATTTCTCACTTTCTGTCTCTCTATCTTTCCCTGTCTCTCCAGTGAGTGCACGCATCCTACAGTTAAAACCTTTCTGAAAACAAATAAAACTCAGGCAGGGCACATGTGTGTGCATCCACAAAATTCCAAGAGGAGAATGGAGGAGAATGGAGGAAATGGGATTGCAAGTGGCCACCCCCTCAAGGGGCAATTTCCTGCTCTCAGTCTCTCTGTCTCTCCAGCGAGTCACATGCCCTATAGCAAAAATCTCTCAAAAAGAAAAAAAAAAAAAAAGGGAGGAGTGAGCAGCAAATGGCATAGCAGTTACATTGCAGGACACCCATGTAGTGGATCCTGGTTTGAGCCCTGGACCCAGAGACTTAAAACTCATGCCAGGCTCATGCATGTGGATGTCCAAAATCTCAAGAGGAGACTGGAGAAGGGATTGCAGCATGGCCATCTCTCCTGGGGGGGGGGGAGGTGATTTCTCGCCTAATGTCTCTCTGTCTCTCCTCTGAGTGCATTCACCCTATAGCAAAACTCTCTCCAAAAAAGAAAAGGGAGCAGAATCTTATCCACATATTACAGTTGCCATCCAAAACTTGGAATTTAACAGAGATTCGTAATACAATATACACAATCCCAATATCTAACTATGATCTATCTGATATTTCTATGTCCTAATACAACTCATTTCTAAAATTTCCTTTCTGGGCAATGCAGGGCAAAGTGTGTGGTCTCTGTGGAAATAACAATGGCGATCTCAAGGATGATTTCACCACAAGATACTCATCAATGGCTGCTGGAGCACTGGAGTTTGGAAACAGCTGGAAAGAGAGTCAAGAATGTTCTGATACTGTTGCTCAAAGTTTCCCATGTGACTCGAACCCGTACTGTAAAGCCTGGGCTGTGCGGAAATGTGAGATCATCAGGGACAGCACCTTCCGCGACTGCCACAACAAGGTAGCACTGCTCCGGAAGCAACGGCTTGCACGGGGTTTGCTCCTGGAGACTCACGTGCTGTCTCATCCTCTGCCTAGGTTGACCCCAGTTCTTACTACGATGCGTGTATCGAGGAGGCCTGCGCGTGTGACATGGAAGGGAAGTACCTCGGCTTCTGCACGGCCGTGGCTATGTACGCAGAGGCGTGCAGCGCCGTGGGAGTCTGTGTCTCCTGGAGAAAACCAAATCTCTGTCGTAAGTGAAGTCCGTATGTTGCTGTTCTTTAAAAAAACATACTTAGCTAGAACTGTTTTCTTAATCAGTCTTCCTCTCAGATTTTGTATAAAACACATGTTCTTACCTAGAAAGGTTTAGAAACATGTTAATACGTGTTTGTGATGGGGAAACAGTCTAACTTTAAAAACATGGCACCAGGCAGCGCACTTCAAGTTCAATTTCATTAAAATAATCCCTGTATACACAGGGGAAAAAAAAATGGAATACTGGGGGGTGGATCTTTCTTTCTTTCTTTCTTTCTCTTTCTTTCTTTCTTTCTTTCTTTCTTTCTTTCTTTCTTTCTTTCTTTCTTTCTTTCTTTCTTTCTTTCTTTCTTTCTTTCTTTTTCTTTCTTTCTTTCTTTCCTTCCTTCCTTCCTTCCTTCTTTCCTTCCTTCCTTCCTTCCTTCCTTCCTTCCTTCCTTCCTTCCTTCCTTCCTTCCTTCCTTCCTTCCTTCCCTTTTGAGAGGTTTTTGCTATAGGGCGCGTGTGCTCGCCAGACAGACAGAGACACAGAGACAGAAAGCGAGAACTCACCACCCCAGGGGGGATGGTCACACCACAGTCCCTTCTCCTCCATTCTCCTCTTGGGATCTTGGGCACGAACGAACTCGCACCGGGAGTGTTTTAAGCCACCGGGTTGGGACGCAAACCGCGTCAACTACGTGGGAGTCCAGCAACATAGCCATTATGGTAACTGCTGGTTCCCGGGGGGGATATTTCTTATTCATACTTTTAACTGTTTAACTATTCTGGTATGTTCATATATCCTTAAACATTTGCCTCATATACTTTTGATTGAAATCTTCACATGTTATGTTTCCTTGAAAACTTTTATAGGGCCCAATGTGAAGATGAAACGTAAACAGACTAGAAACTAAATCTTGATACATATATGGAATGTGATAACAGTTTTTCTTTTTAAGGATGATATTATGAGAGAAAATGTAATAAATGAGAAGTGTTAAACTAGAATCCTGGTTTAATTTTTTTTATACACATTACATTTTGTTGACATCTTTAGTCACTTCTTTTAGGAATTGTACTTTTCATTAGAAAAGGCTTATTTATGCCAGAGATTATTCTTTTCAAATTTAAACTTGAATATTTGGCATCAGCCCCATGGTACAACTGTTAGGTTCTGCTCAGAGGGAGCTGTATCTCACGTGGCTGACTGGAGTCTGAATCCTGGCCACAGTGGCTTCATGCCAGGCTCATGTATGCATGCTCAGGAGCCTGATGGGTTAGAGAATTGCAGGATGACTGGGCCCATTGGGGGGTCTCTCTCTCTCTGTCTCTTGCACATGCACATATGCGATCATGAGTAAAAATAACTAAACCTAACCCTCTCCAAACAAGAAAACATGAATTTAAATTATGACATAAAATAGATAAATGAATGTTACCTTTCTACCTGTAGACAATCATAGTGAGAGGTGTCAAGTGTAAGTGCTATTTTGCAGACACATATACTAAGACAGGATTATATACTTTAGGTCTGTTTGTTATTAATCTAACTCAAAATCTCCTTTAAAAAGTTTGGAAAATGAAAGGTGAAAAGTTTTAGATAATGAATGAAAGTAATTTGCTATAATTGGATTACAGCTGTCTACTGTGATTACTATAATGCTCCTGGGGAATGTAGCTGGCATTATGAACCTTGTGGAACGGTCACTGCAAAAACATGCAAAGATCGAGTCATTGGCCAGAAATTTTCTGCACTTTTAGAAGGTAAGAAAAAATTTAAGAATATCTAAGAAGTAGTACAAATGATATTGGTTTTTAAGACTGGAAAATAGTGTTAGTTTCTTCCAAGTCAGTGTCTTATGTTTTGTAATTTAATGAATAGGTATTTATCATGAAATTAATATTTCTGTGTTGGAAACATGCTCTCTAGATAGAATTTATCTGTTTAATAGAAAAGAGAGTACAGTTCTATGATCCCACTGTCATTTTTTTTTTAATCAGACACTTAGACAATGTAGTTTAGTAAGAATGCATTTTCAGAATGTGACCTATCAAAAAATCTTGCTTGACTAGAGGCCAATATACTGTATCCAACACGTAGACAGTATTTTGTTCTTAGCGCTCTATATCCTAGGGAGAAAGAAAGAAGAGACAGGAAAATAAGGTGATACAGATCTTTCCAAAAAAGTCACATTTTTTTAAACCCTAGGCTTTGGGAGAGTTTTACCCCATTTTATAATGCACATTTACCAAAATCTGTTTTATGTTCAACAAGCCTGTCATTAAAGAAGCAAATCATTTAACAAATACATTTTAAAGAAACATTTTAGGAAAATATTAAATCAACCCAAATGTATGAGTGCTCAGGTTGCTATTTCACTGCCAAAGGATCTGAATTCCTTTTAGAAAGTCATATCTTTATAAATAACATATATTGTTCTTATGAATGTGATGTTCTGCCATTCCTATTTCAGTTCATGGGATCACTTAAGTAACTCTGCAAATCCATAATGCAGTATGATGAGTGCCAATCAACAGATATGAATTGCAGGTCATTTTTACATACAGGTTGTTACGCTAAGTGCCCTGACAGTGCACCCTATCTGGATGAGAACACTATGAAATGTGTCCGTTTATCTGAGTGCAGCTGCTTCTATAACGACATCATACCTGCAGGGGGAGTGATCCAAGATAACTGTGGAAGAACATGGTACAGACTCTGTTCATTTTCCAATAAGCAATCTGATTTTTGCATTTTTGCTCAGGAAAAAAATCCCGTGTGTGTATGTGTGTGTGTGTGTGTGTGTGTACACATTCAATTTTTGTTTCTATTATTTCTAAATGAGAAGGCCAGTTCTAGTGCCAGTTTTACATCAGTTATTTTGTGCTTTCAGAAAACTCATACATCAACTCATGGCTTGTTGAATCTTATACTTAATGATGTAGAGGATGGGACAGAAAATGTCACAGTGTAGTTTTAGGGAAAAAAGAAAGCTTTAAATCTATACATATGAGACCATGTTGGAAGGCTTTCAAATAGCTATGTGGAAGCACATGGATGAGTTCTACTAGAGCAGCATGGCCGTGAACTGATTGCATGTTTGAAACTGATGACGTAAGAACTAACTTTGCAACTCAACTGGAAGCCATTCCTGTAACCCCAAGATCTCCACAGTGAAATGATTAGGACTCACAAAACAGGAAAACACAAGTAATTGACAGCATCCTCCTGTGGACACAATTATTTTTCTTGGTTCTGTGTGATTTTACTGCTGGACAATTTGTTGCTTTGCAGTTGTGAAATATATGTCATTAGCAGTCAAAACTTCAAATTCATTCTTTTTTCTTTTTGAATTTTACTTTCAGCTATTGCATTGCAGGGGAGTTGGAGTGCAGTGGTGAGTCATTATGGTTTGCTCTAATTGATTTAGGAGAGAGGTGTTAAGGGGTTGGGATCTTCTTTAGACCTTCAGCACCTGGGCAGCAGGTACTTCATAGTTTTGAAGGCTCCTCAGGTGATTGGCACAGTTCCATCCCAGTGTGATTGTTTCTGGTGAGTCACACTACAACCCAGGGCTGCCACATTTGAACAACTGTCAGATGGGGCAATGACAGACACACATGAGCGGTTCACCTTCTGCATGTGTGCCCCCTGCTGACCTGTAGGTTCTGAGAATTAAAAAGTGAGGCATCAGTCAAAATAGATTAATAAAGGGATGGTGTAGAATCGTTATGGAAAAAAAGATAAATAATTGAAGTATCGTTCCTGAGCAGAACATATGCTAAAGGTAAATCTGAATAAGCTTCAGAAGAATATATAAGCTACTTCTTTGTTTTTGTGTTAGGAATTGCTAGATGTAAAATACAAAAAAGGGACAGATGACTTACGGACAACTAGAGATGTAGAATTTTTAAAAGATTTTTCATTTCTTGTCAATAATAATAATGTGTGATTATTTCAGAAAATATTGCTACAAATTCAACATTTGCAGGTAAAACCATTATTATGCTTTAAATGTATATATCTGACTTCTTCTTGTGAATTATCCTGTATAGTTTCCCATGAATCTGTGAAGGTAAAAGATATGCTGGTAAATCTGCTGATATACAAATTTTAAACTAAAATGAACAGTTACTAGAAAGTTTGTCAAAATATTTTTATTATATTCTCATGAATTAAGTTAGAAATATGACCACAATATACAATAGGTACTCTATACCTACTAGTTCATTATCATCATGCAAAGCTTTGCATGTTTCGATAATAATTGAATAAGTGAATGAAATGGTAAATGTGGTCTTCCACAGAGTAAATCTTTTGAAGTCATGATCAGTCTGTGATCAGTCTAGAAATAGCAAGTAAATAGTTAATGATCTGAAAGCACAGAAATAACAAGTTAATAGTTAATGCCTTTTCCTTAACTCAGGTGTTTCCATTAAGCCATAGGGTCCATTTCATTGGGTCCATTCAGGGGAATGTTGGGCAAACATTTTCTTGAGACATTTAACTAGTCAATGTGAGTACGCTCAGAGTTGCTGCATAGTTATTTATCTCTGTCTTTTGTGCTTTTATTTTGATGGGATTTTATTTCCCATTGATTGATATCGGGATGGGGCATCAATGAAGAGATAGTACAGTAGATTGGAAGTCTTAGGTCTGATGATATCTTTAAAGAATGCAACTCTGTGTAAAATGTTATTTAAATTTTAGTTATTGCTGGTCACTTAACCTGAAGCTAAGTTATCACGTGTATTAGTTCTGACCTGTATTTCTTGGCTAGTAAATAGACCTTCAAAGGTTCCTGAGAAATTTTGGTTAAAAAGTAATAACAGGCAACGATAAGTTATTTCCGATGAACAAGAATATACAGTATTAATTATATTACTTTAAATGAAAAGTTATTTTGTTACAAATTTATACATTTTAATTTTAGTTTATAAAGACTGATTTTTTGAATTAAATTTCCCAACAAAATTATTCAAGCAATCTATATTTGTAAATATTGTTTTCTCTAACAGTTTCTACTACAACGGCTACTTCCATATTGAGCAGCACACCAGGTAAAAGGGAAGAATACTTGCTACTTTTTCACTATCTAAATTAGCAGTGAAGAATTTACTATGTAGGCATCTGGGTTCTCTTTTCACACTTGTCTTTTTCTATGTATTCATTTCCTAAATGCCCATGCTAAGCAGCAGAGCCTACATCTAGTTGTAGTATTAGTAAAGAATGTCTTCCCTATTCAAAGGATATCTGTCCTAAGAAGAACATTCTGTATACTAATGATTTGGAGAAAGTGATCATTCCAGGAAATTGTATATGAAATTCTTTAGAAATAATGGACAATTTCTCTTTTACTAACACCTGGGAATTTTAACTTTATTAGATGATTTGTAATTAAATCAATGGCCTGCAGAATATAAAAATATTTTGAAATGTGTACCATCTAATAAAATGTTACATTTCAATATTTATTTGCATTCAGGAGATTTCTAAACATGTCTAAATAAATACTTTTAAACTTGTCTTCTTATACTATTTTAACATACATTTCTAAATATTTGTCTCCTCTTTTGCATAGTGATAACACTGGTCACCAGTAGTTCAGGCACAGGTAAGCCATAACCTCCCACCAAAACTTACCAGGAGATTTTTTGCTATAGGGCTTGTGTGCTCACCAGAGAGACAGAGAGAGAAGAGAGATAGAAAGTGAGAAATCCCCACTCCCTCCCAGAAGAATGGCCATGCCAAAATTCCTTCTCCTTTATTTTCCTCTTGGGGTCTTGGGCTCACATGCACATAAGCCTGGCTTGAGTTTGAAGCCTCCCAGTCTGGGACTAGAACCACAATCAATGCATAGGAGTCCAGTGATGTAACCATTATGCCATATGCTGGTCCCATACCAGGAAATTTTTATAAACATCCAAAACTTCCTTTTGCAGTATTATGTCTGTGACATGACAGTGACATTTTCAGAAAATGTCACTTTTTTTTCTCTCTTTGGAAAGAATGTTTTAGAGGAAGCTTTTGCAAAAACGAAACAAAACACTGTATGTATACAAAATAAGTATCTTATATTTTATTACACTGATTTTTATAATTTTGTTTATAGTAACATATAATCATTGTACATATTTATGATGTATGGTGTGATGCTTTGATATGTGTATGCATTGTGTACCATCATATCAGGGTATTTAAGATATCCATTACTTCGAAATGATAAATTTTTTGACCTTTAACTTGTGATTTGTGAATTTTAAAACTTTAATTCTACATTTTGGCATTTATTCACCTATATACTTGAATTTTTTGACAACATTAATTTTAAGTTGATTCATTTATATATTGCCATAGCAATCCTTAGAAGCATAATATTCCAGGGAACAGCAGGTGGTGTGGTGATTAAGGCACTGGACACTACCACATGGCTGACCACAGTTCGAGTCCTAGACCTGGAGACTTGCTTTCACACTTTCTCTCTCTCTATCTCTCTGTATGTGTGTCTCTCTCTGGTCAAATTAAAATAAAATGAATGAGTAAATAAAATTTTTTAAAAATTAGCTTAACAAAAAAAAAAGAAGCATAATATTCCTTCTATTCACAAAACTTATCTTTTCCCATTGTTTTCTCAAATTTAGCAGCATCCATTTCTGGGATTACAACATCAAACAGTGAAACAGTAGGTAGGTACTCAGACAGTCTATAAATTATGAATAAGTTTTTACACTGATTAAAACATATTTTTTTCCAGTACAGACCTAGAGCAACTTATATAGTAGAATCAAAATCAGTTTGATTATATTTTTGAAATAAGGTCTGAATTTCCCCTTAGATCATCCATCTTTCTGAGTTTATCTTGCTATCCTATCATTTTACTTAAAATTTAAAATCTGTTGAGTATGCTTCAGTATCTTTAACATATATGAAAAAATGAGAAAAAAAGAACTTGAGAAAAATGGCTATCCAATGATTTTGCCCTGTGACTCCACATCCAACTTCTGTTTGTGATATTGTCACTTTATTATATTTAATCTATTGTATAATGAAAATATAGAGACCAATTTTAAGTAACTGAATATTTACATCCATAATATATGTCATGCCTTCCCAGGCATGTTAGAGAAAATAGTTCATAGATTTCACTCTCCCAAATATACACTATTTCTGATATATCTATTGTCCCATCATTAGAGTCTTCCCACTGAACACTGATTTTCTTTCTCTTATTTTTTATTAATTTTTCTAGTCTTAAATTTCTTGAGGTCAGAGACCATGGTTTTTCATCCTTGTATTCCCAATCATACCTAGTGTTGACCTATATAATAGTTCTCAATAAATACAGATGAATGAATGAATAATGCCTCTTTTTCCCTATCAAAAATTTAGAATTCAGGTTTTGTATTTTAGCACAGAACTTCTGGCAAAGGTTAGATATTATGGGCTATGGTCAATAAATCCTACAGTTGGTATATTTTGTTTATTGGAGCTAATCTTTCTTCTGTAGAAATCAAAGACATATGAAGAATGAAGACCATTTGGGGGATAATACATTGATAATATAATATATAGTTTTGGTTATAATTTTGAGCACTTTGCACTTATCATTATTGTGTGATTTGTTAATATATTTTTATATTCAAAAAACAAATACTTACAGTATCAGCCATCATAGTGTGCAGTATTAGAATATTAAAGATAGCAAAAAAACATATTTCTTCTCAAGTTTTCTCTTTGGGTATCGGTAGCAACAAAAAGTGCTACTCTCTTAATGGAAATCTTAGGAAGATTGACACAATTCAACAATGTTGTTTTTCTATTCTGTGATTATTCATTCCCAAGGCCAATAACAATTGCTTCCTAATAGTTCTGTATTATTTCATATGCCCTGCAGAATAATTTTTCTAGCTACATATTATTTCAGTCATAAGCAATGGCTGATTTTCTCATTTTCAGCCTGTTTCTGTTTCCAAGATAATTAATTTGGCTCAGTTATTTAGTTTTCCTTTAGTTAAAATCATTAATTCAGCTGTTAAAACTATTGAGTCTTGGTGACCATTTAAGAAAATAAAATTTCCCTGACTGTTGTAGTGAATTCCATAGACTCTATGCCTCAGTAATAAAACATCTGGATAACTATTTGAAGTATTTTTAAAAATATGATAATGCTACCAGCATCCTATATCAAAATAGACTCTCAACTAAGAAAACTGGTTTAATTTTTCCCGTTTACACATACATTTCCTTGTATTGATTTTTCTTTCTCAAGCATTCAGTTGTGAACACAATATTTGATTTTCTTTTGTCAGCACTTTTTATTGTAGCAGGCAAACTTTTTATATAAAATGGAGGTCATGGGAAGGTTGCCTAACCGGATTTTGTGAGCAGCTGGTGCAGTTTTAGATGTAAACTGTCTCATTAATGTAAAAGATTATTAAAAATCTTATTGATCATTTCTATGATAGAATTTTAAAAATTAAAAATCTAATATAAAGTTGAATGATCACTATTACATTAGTGAGTTCTCCCCTGCACCCCTTAAGTATTATATGCAACTTTTTATGCTTTGCCTTACTGAAGCCTAATGTTTTATTTAATTTCATTGCAATTCCAAGAGATATTTCATACTCGGTAAATATGATACTAATTACTTGCGAAATGCTACATTAGAATATAGCTAATAAAAACATTTACTAAGGATTTACTATATTCTAATGATTGGTTAAATACTTTTCATTCAATATCTCATTAAATCTCAACACTCTTCTGATTAGGTACTGTTATTATTCACAACTATCCACCTTTATCATTTTCTAGGTGAAGAGATGCAAAAAATTTTAATATTCCCAAGGTTATAAGGGTCTCAAGGAAAAGCTGCTTTTTGGCATGATAGGAAATCAGAGGTGTTCTTTTCTTGATACCCATGAAAGCCAGAAAATATTTTCAACATCAATCTAAAATTAAGAGTCCAAAATATTTTTTTGTGTGTGGGGGAGATGTTTTTGCTAGAGGGTGTGTGCACTTGCCAGAAAGAGAGACAGAAAGTGAGAAATCACCCCACAGGAAGGAGAGTCATGCTGCAATCCCTTCTCCTCCATTTTCCTCTCAGGATGTTGGGCACACACACGCACACACACACACACACACACACACACACGTGCCTGGTGTAAGTGTAAGCCACCAGGTATGGAACTCGAACCGCAGTCAAGTACGTGGGAGTCCAGTGACATAGCCATTACATCAACTGCTGGTCCTGACAAAAATAATTTTAAAATCTTCTTTTGTCACATTAAAATCATCCAATTATGTCATAAATTAGCATATTTAAATACATTTACTGAAAGAATTCCAACATATTGAAAATATTGCCTCTCAAATTATCGAATCAGTAATACTTGGCCAGCATTTATTATTAATGTACATGTAACTTTATTTTGCTGTAATAAATTAATTAGTGCCTACTTTCCAAATAACTGAGGCATACAAAATTTTGGTTACTTATTAAATTTCAATTTTAAAATAATGATTAATGTTAAGACTTGGTTTAATTCTTAGTTCCTCATTTAGTATTCCACAGCCTTTCTTCTGAGGCTATGCCCATATCCTAGATAGTGGTGGGAATTTAGAAGTAATTCAAATAATAACTTCATTTCCCACAGAATCTGTGACTTGAGAGTTTTGAGTTCCCATGTGGTCATTTTTGCTGATTTTTTTAAACTGGATAATCATAAATTGTTGGCTTCAATTTGTGCTATGGACTCGGATTGAGTGTAAAATATTCAGAATAAAATGTGACATTGCTGAATTTTAACAATGTTAGGATAGAATATGTTGATTTACTTCTGACTGAGGATTAGTAATAATCCATATAAAATGAAGAGATAATCAGAAGAAATCTTGGAAAGTATTACATGTGTTTTACTGGCAGTTTTACTTTGAAATGCTAAAAAAAATTACTATTCTATTAGTTTTCATTTTCAATGTAAGAATAAAACACTTTCTTTTGAGGTACACCAACATATTTTTTGCTTTTAGTGTTTTTTTCCCGAAATTCATCCGATAAACATCTTGTCAAAATGAAAGTAAAGCAGTTTAAGGTGTTTGCTTTTAGAATACTTTCAAAAGAAATAAAGATCTTTTTGTGGTGCAATTGCTTTGCACAAATTGTAGGCTTGAAAAACACATCTTGTTTCTTTTCCTGACATTGATGGTCTAAAAGTCGAACAACATTTCACAAACTGTGATGAATCCATAACTACATAATGATTTTGTTTTCTAAGGTAAGCCTTACTTGATCAGTGATAAGAAAAATGCATCCCATTTTATAAAAATGTTAAAATAAGACTTTAGTTATCATTGAACAACATTAGCAAAGTTGTTTCATTTGTTTCTTTCTAGACACAGTATATGCATCAACTAAAAACATTTAGAGGCTGAAAAGTAAAAGATTAATATTTTTAGGTATAAAATAGCTAGGAAGGTTCCTAATTTCCAATAGGTCTTGCCTCTCCATGAAATGTCTGCAATAGATGGAAAGATTCGTTTCTTAAATGTGAGAACCCGTTTCACCCAGAAATTATGGCTTATAGTTCCAGTATTCTAAATCTACTTTCATTTAGGATAATACATTAGTACTTTCCAATTGAACCAATAAGATCAGTGGGGCAAATTAATTTAGTCAAAGCTTTTATTTTTAGTTCCTGCTTTGTCTAAAAATAAATCAATTCAGTATAAATGCCAATAATTTTTGAAAAGAAAGATAAAATTTACTTTAGAAAAATTCTGGGCAGGACCACAGGATTTTGTTTTGTTTTGTTTGTTTGTTTTTACCACTGACTTGTTTCTTAGTTGAAGTACTTTGGATCAAATACTGGATCAAACTGTAATCTTGGATAGAAGTCACAGTATGATTTTCTTTCCATACGTTTCTTTAATTAAAAAAGTAAAATTTTGTTTTGACTATAGTGCCCATACCATCATTGGAGATAGAGTCAGAGAGAAAGCGAGACAGGGAAAGTGAGAAAGCATCTCCCAGGGTGGGTGGCCACTCAACAATCCCTTTTCCTCTATCTCCATTCTCAGGATTTGGGGCATGCATGCATACACGCCCAGTGTATTTTTCAAGCTGCCAGGTTCAAGATTCAAACCAAGCAGTTGGCCATGTGGGCTCCAGTCTCCTTAACCTCATCTGTTAACCCCATCACTGTGTATAGCTTAACCTCGTTGTTGAGGTAAATAGAATAGAAATAAAGTATATTTTTGAGGGATTTAGGAAAAACTTCCAGAATACTTTTAAGTACAAAAAAAGCAATACACAAAGCTTAATTATTTTCCATGCTTTATAGATCTACTCTCTTTTCTATAGAACAGATGCTTTCAAAGGGCTAAAATACCTCGAGAGATGCTTAATCAACCATTCTAATAAGTGTTATTTTTAGAAGAAATCTTACGCAGTTATGAGATTTTACCTCTTGAGATTGACTGATCCTGACACAGATCTAGTATTTACTGAGCACTGCTCTAAATATTTGACACAAATTATCTCATTTGATACAAAAAACTCTGTGAAGTGGTTGTCATGTTCTCTTATTTACAAATAAGTAAATTAAAGCACAAAGATGTTATGTATGCAAGGTTACTTGCTAGAAAGTGACAGAAAGAATTAAAATCTAGGACTTCCCCCCTCCCCAAGATTTCAGTCCTCGCTGTGTTCTGATGTTTTTAAAAAAAGAGAGTAAAGTTGAATGTAATTAATTTCAGTTACTGAAATAGCAATATACAGTCGCAGATTCCAACTTCAAATTGTAACTTGTGTTAACATTTATAATTTGTTTAGCAAGTTTCTATTAAAACTAAAAACAGAATTTTATTGATTACCAAGGATACTAATTCGTGTAATTAAAAAGTGGGTTTTCTGTTCCTAGCAATATTATATATCAACTTACATTTTTTTCTCAATCATTGTTAAAACCTCAGAATGTTACAACTGTAGGTTACATATAAATTTTGTCTATATCATGTGCTTATGCTAAAATAACAACGATCATAGAAAGGAAATAATTGTATCAGGCTGTTATTGTGAGGCAGCTGAGTGTAGCAGGATGTGGAATCAGAAAAGTAAGGATATGACTCCCTTCTCTTCTACTTGCTGGTGGCATGATCCTAGTTTAAGTCCCTCAAATACTCTGGACATTGGTTTCCTCATCTGTGAAGTGGGAGAAATACCTGCATTACAGAATTTGAGAAAGGAATAAATATGCTAGTGCAGCTCTCCCACATAGTGAAGACTAAGTAAAATCAACTCTATTGCTATTAAACAATGTTGTAAAAAAAGATTCATTAGGTAAATGAATTTAGATTTTAGTAGAGGAATTTAATATTTTTTAGTGCTTAATCAGATATACTATTTTCTGAATGAAGACCAATTTTTATGCATTTTAAGATTTTATTTCAGTAATAAAATATTTTTCAAAAAGCTGTAAATATTTGCAGTAGTAAGTCTGTTACTTATAAGAGGAACTTATATGGATAAGTCAGTTTTTTCCATAAGTTTGGCTGTCATTTATTTTAAGTGAAATAGAATCCATTGCAGGAAAATGGCAGAAGATATTTTCCTTATAAAAATTGAAGTGGTTCTTAGAAATAATCAGAATACTTAGTAGTAGCTAGAAAATTAATTGGAATATTATATATTAGCTATTACTTATCATGAGGTAAATAAATGGGTACAGTCACTATGATATACCTTTAGGAAAGTATCATACAATGTAATGCGTAGAGCTATCACTATTTTGATAAAGGTAGTTCTATCTATTATGTTCGTATCTTGGCAACAAAGAAGCTAACACACAGTAATCGGCAATACCAAGTACTTCCAAAATGTATGCTCCTTTACAAGTAATGATAAAGTCAGCTGAAGTTATAATGGTTATGATGTCAAAATGAATGAGAACAATACTAATTTACCTATCCGATTTGGTAGTTAAACCATGAAGAAAAATGGGTTCTCATGTATTCCTGTTAGTAAAGGCTTATCCCTACTTTTATTGCTGTATCGACAATTACAGACTTACATCTTCAGAAGTTCATTCGTGGGAAAAGGGAGCTATATCATAGTAGCCTGACTGGTATGTACTCCAATCTGTGACTAGTTTAGTTAACTCTATGACCCTGATAAAAGATAGGTCCTTGAGATCTGCTTTGGAGCATGTTGCCATGTTAGTCCCATCAATTACAACAAAAGGCCTGTAACTATGTTTCCTGCGCACATGGTAAATATGATCAATACGTTACCACCAATGGTGTGCCTCTGGGGTCCCCTTAAATTCATGTTGATTTCGAGCATTTCTCTCCTAATTTCTAATATTTCCATTAATATGAATGTAGGAGTTTGGGAGATTTGATTTTACTCCTTACAATAATGCTGCTTTTAATTCAATGTAATTGGCTTCAGTTTGAAAGTACTCAAATTGATCATTGGAATTTCTTAAAGATTAAGTCAATATTGGGAAATGGAATCTCTACCAAAATCTTTTGGAGTATCATGGTCTATCCTGCTGCATCATTATAATCTCCATAGCTTCTGTGAACCATGGTGTAACAGTCTTTCTGTGCTACCCTTGAGTCTGGATCAGCAAGAACTTGTAATGCAAATGACCAATGATTACATTTATTCATGAAAAAGAAATGCCAAATTCTGAAATGGTCTGTTGGTGAATTATGCTTGATACTGATTTTGAGAATTCTTCTCAACTACACCTTGACACTGATTTTGAGAACTCTCACCTAAACCTCTCAAACTACTTACCATACTTATAACCATTTTGTAAAGTAATCAGGGAAGGCCTAATATTTTATTATTTATTTGACCTAATAGTCTTTCTATCCTAATTTCTAAATATTTATATTAATATGGTGAATAGTTAATTAGGAAAACTTAAAAAATATAAGAAGTGAAGTATTATACATAGAAGCAGCATTATAAACAAAGCAGAATGGGTCATAGTCTTAGGTACTGAGTGACTTAGATTTTAATGCCAGCTTTACCACAGACCAGAAGTTGATTTTGTACAAATCACTTTATCTTTTCTCAGCTAAGTTTTTTATTTGAAAAATGGGTATAATACTTTGACTCCACTCATTCATTATATAGACAAATGTTTATCAAGTCCTGATGATATGCTCGGCACTCTGATAGGCATTAGAGATATAAAAGCAAATTAAAGTAGACATGGCCCGGCCTTCGTAGAGCCTACAGTCTAGACTGGAAGAAGGATATCCATTAGGTTATAACAAAAACAAAAGGAAAATTGTATCCAATGACAAGAATGATGAGGTGATTAAAATTGATTGTGGGATGAAGGAGAAGGGATTTGATGAGGTCAGGGAGATCAGAGAAGACTGAAGAAAAGGTGATTGAGTTGAGAAGTGACTAGTGAAGGTTTAACTAGGAGCAGAGTGGAAAGAACCATGTGCTAGGAATAGGGAACTGCAGACAGCAGTCTTGAGAGCAGGACAGTGGCTGGATGAGGAATGAGGATCACATAGATCATATAAGAAGTTTCTTCTTCTTTCAGAAATTACTTGCTTGATACTAATTTTGATACTTGACACAAAAAAGTGTAACACTGCAAAGGGTCAGTATTAAATAAACTTAGAAAGATTTCCAGGGATCTTCAGTGGAAGTTAATATTGAAATAGGGAAAATACCTGACACTTCATTATTTACAAAAGTACATATTTTTTTAAGTTTATAAGGGGTTTTCAGAAAATTTATGGGAGTTGTGTATTATGCAAAACTATACATGGATTTCAAAATTGTTTGTACCAAAATATACTCACATTTAATTACATGTTTCCATGACTTTTTGAAGTCCCATCATTATTTATTGAGGAAGAGAGAGGAAGAAGGGAACGAGAGAAAGAGAGAGAGAGAGAAGGAAAAATAAGCATCCTTGCAAAGGTCTTCTAGTCCTCTAGCCAGCCAGGATCACAGTTGTGTCACTGTGAGACAGACATAAGATACAAACCTGGAGCCTTCCCACATAGTCTCCAGTATTACACAGTAGCACCCACACAGCCTGCACCATGTAGCTGAGCCAGTAATGGCTTATTTTTAAGTGCACAGACCCCTCAACAAACATTTACCTCCTACTACATTTCCTGACAATAGGTGGGTAGGCAGCATTGGGAATACAAAGATAAAACATGGCCTCTTCCTGCAGGAGTTTACTGAAAATCCACAACAGTTGTTTATTGTTAACTTCAAAATTATTTCCACAAATCTGCTATGTCAAACCAGAAAAGTGAATCTTAAGAAATAGTTTTCTTTTTCTCCCCAAACCCATATAGATTAAATGCTACTTAATAGAAAAAAAAAAAGAAAGCTCCAGACCACCAGATGCAGAGCCAATTCAATGAAATCACAAACTGGAAAATCAGCCTCTGCTTAACAGAGGATTGATTTTGTCATTATTGATAAACATTTATTTCATTTACTTTATTACTGGGTAAACAACCATACACACAGACTTTTACATTGGAAAACACATTGCAATGTCAATATTTTAAAAGTTAAATAAAACTATGATGATATCTAAACACTGGAGTATTACAGACTACTCTGTATTGAAAACTATTTCATAGGTGAGAAATCTTACTAGTTTTTTTTTTTTCCTTGAACCCAGAAAAATTCACATAATTTCTGTTTTTTTGTTTGTTTGTTTTTAATCAGGAGCAACTCTCACTGAACATTTTACTACAGGTCAGTAAAGTATATTCATTTCTGATTATACATCATGTGAAATAAATAAATTACTAGTAACTTTGGATTTTTGAGAGAATTTGTTAGAGTTTGACTTTTGAAAAAATATTTTAAACAAGTAGTTCACCAGACTTTTCTTATTGTTTTTCAACTAAAAACCAAGCAAACAAAAAACATGAACAAACAAAAATCCCTAAATTTTGGTCAGCTCTGTGGGGTGGTGGTTGGGGCAGCCATATCTCACATGGCTGCTCACCATGTGATATACATTCCAGCCACAACAGCTTAAAAACACACAGGGTACATGTGTGTGTGTGCCCGGAATTCTGGCAAGATGGAGAGGTGAAGAAAGCATTACAGTGGGAAGAAGAGGAGGCTTTCTACCTCTCCCTTTCCTGTCTCTCTCCATGGGAAGCAAACATGCCCTCTGGCAAATAAAACAAGACAAAACAAAACAAAACACTGAGTTCATCTTGGTTTTGACTGGATATTGACTGATTATAATACAGTTACCAGATTTATTTTCTTTCTTATCAGTAACTATTAACATAGCATCTACAACAGTCCTAAATATCTCAAAAATTTTTAAAAATATACAGGTTTAGAGAAAAATATGTGTATACCTAATACTATATTTTATTGTTTTGGGTGTTTTACTATAAAAGTGGCAATTAGCTATTTCATTATAATGTTTTATCATTTTTCCTATCAGCCCTAAGCAATAGGGCCCAAGGTTCTGTCTAGTTTTTTTGGAGAGGTTTTTGCTATAGGGTACGTGAACTTGCCAGAAAGACAGAGAGAGACAGAGAGACAGAAAGCAAGAAATCACCCCCTAGGGGGGATGGCCATGCTGCTGTCGACTACATGGGAGTCCAGAGACATAGCCGTTACGCCAACTGCTGGTCCTGGTTCTGCCTATTTTAAAGCTAAGTAATTGAGACAAATGTCAATAACTTAGCTTTTAAAATAGGTCACACTAATTTAAAATGCATAAAAGATGTCTTTGTTGAAAGCAATGATGTAACCAAAATCTTCATGAAAATAATATTAGAATCAAATTTTAGAGAATAAGAAGAAAATTACTGAACTCATTTATTTTTTTTTTTTATTGTAAAATTGATTGGTCAGTTAACCCACCCATTGGTAATAAAGTCTAAGTAGATTCTAAATGAGAAGTTAATTTTATATTTTTCTCAGGCATTGCTACAACTTCAACTCCCATCACCTCAACAACTGCAAGTCCGGTCACAACTGGAGTAGTGAGTTCCATCAGCAGCCCTGGGGGCATATCAGGTAAGTTAAGTTTAGAACCAAGCACACTAGTTCCAGCTAAGCAACTGTTTTCAGACAGTGCTGCTCAGGACAATATTTTTCAAACTAAAACATATCAGACTTAGGTGATTATTCCTTACAGATAATTAAAATGTCATATCTGTAGTCTTTCCCCAAGTTGCTTTTTAAAAGTATATCATGCTATAATTAATTATATGTGCCCTGTAGCTTGACAGTTAGTAGTTCCCATGCACTTTCTTTTAGCCAGTCATTTATGTTTTCTTTATCAGGGACAACTGGAATGCCACTAGGTGTAACCACAGGAGATGACATTGAAATTACGACTGACACAGGCTTCAGAGCAGGTGAGACAAAGACATGGGTCAAGTGGTATCAACTTTACTCTCTGAGTACAGCCTTTGACAACAGGGACCACATATCAGAGTATCCAAAGCTATGAAGCAATATTGGGAATATTCAGTAATTAATATGTATTTATAAAATGTCTGTGATACATTTATTTTTTCATTTAGTTTTGCTGTAGAACATGTATGCTTACTGGAAAGAGGCAGAGAAAGGAAAAGTGTGAAATCACCTCCAAGGTGATGGCCACACCACAGTCCCTCTTCCTCCATTCTCCTCTTGGGATTTTGGGCACACACGCACATGTGCTCGTGTATTTTTCAAGCTGCCAGGCCTGGGACTCTGCTGCAGCAGCTATACGGGATCCAGTGCCTTAACCTTTTCATCACCCGCTGGCCCTCCATGACGTATTTCTAGGGCACAATAAATTTCAGAATTGTGTCCAAATACATAACATATAATTTAATCAACATTAACACCCTGGTAGTTTCACGTCATTATTCCCATGAGATGAGTAAATAATAAAGGTCTCCAAGTTGGAAAAGGTAGAATTAGAACACAGAATCCGAAGCCTCATGTGCAGTGGCTAGTTCTATGGTCAGTATGTAAGAGTATATATCCAACCAAGGCTGATGAAAATATTCTTATCTTTGTGCATCATTGACTAATTTTAATTACTGGTAGTTTCATGAGTAAAATATTACTGCCATTCTTTAATCATAGATATTTTGATTAAAAACAAACAAGACTGAATTCACCCCTGCCTCTCATGCAATCAGTTAATAATTCTAAGTACCTCCTAAGTTTCTTCTGCTCTACTCACATTTGCCTCTGCTTTCATTTAGGTGTTCTACATTTTTCACCTAGTCTTTGTATTCATCTACTTACCTTGCTTTCCTTTAGTAAGGTGGTTCTCAAGATCTGGTTCCTGGACCAGCAACATTAGCATTCCCTGAAAATTTGTTAAAAATGCAGATTTCTGGGCACACCTGCCTGGAGTCAGAAAGTGTTGGAGTGGAGTCCAGCGAATATTCTATTGACTAACTGTTCAGGCACCTGATGCTCAGTCATGTTGAGAGCTACTATTCTAACATGTCCACTCCTTCCCCTCTTCCCTTCCTGCTCACCCTCACAACAGCATGACAAAACGAATTTCCATTAGCTATCACCATGTCACTTCAAATACTTCAATCATTTTAGTCATCTTTAATATAAATCAAGATCCTTTTACATACAATTAAAAATGGTTTTTGTTTGTTTTGTTTTGTTTTGGTGTGTTCATGGGACTTTTCTTTGTATGTTTATTAACAAATCCTTAGCCTGGCTTTATCTTTCTTATGCTCATTTTTCCTTAGCAATTTTCTTGGTTTAAAACGAATGACAAATACTTTTAGGAATAAGATAAAGTTAACATAAAAAATCAATGACTTAAAAGATATAATCTGCATATAGCAATACAAATTAAGAAACTATTAAATAGTTAATTCCAATTAAACCAGAAAATGGATTACAATTTTACAGTGATGACCACTTAATTTATATTTCTTAAAATCTGAATTGTAATTACCTGATGTAAGAAACCTGCTTACCTGTCCAATGACAAAGAATGGACACAAAGACATGAGATACAGGGAAGGAAGACTTTAATGGTGGTCTTGCAAGATTGGATTTCTGATGGGCAGGCATGCCCAAATTAGTTACAACAAGCATTTTATTCACTAGTGCACAAGTCCCTCCTCTAGCTCCCCACTGGCTGAGTAGTATGGTTGTACAATCTTCCTGAATGTCACCTAAGTTTTATTATTTCCTTATTAGTTATTAAGGCACAGACTCAGGACAAGCCTGTGAAAAAGGCCTACCATATGTCCAGAGGAGGGAGAAAAACCAGGAAGTAAAAAGAGCAAAGGGCTGGTGACCAGCCACCATATTGAGAAGTCATTTCTCAAGGGTGACTTGTATTTTTGGGGTTTTGTTTGTTGAGGAATTTTTCAGGAATATGTACCTTCTGGGCTTGTCACATCAGCAAGCTAGTTAAGCAACTTATGTTAAGCTAGTCTTCAAAGTGAATCACTTAAGGCTATTTTTTTTTCTCCTCCTTGGCTAACAATGACAAGCCAATCAGCTATCTCAGTGTGTGTGATAGTTTTGAACAGAGCGTCTCAAGGTTTGATTCACAAATGGATACCATTCAGAACTGTTTGTTACTGGTCCACGATACAATAAGAACTGAAACCAAACAAGCATTTAAAAACAGTGGTTTGACACAATAATCTTATGTACATTGAATAAAGCCTTGTGTTTTATGTGTACTTCTACTTTTTAAAAGTTTGCTTCTCTATTGTTTGATAAGTTTATTAATTTATTTCTTCCATGAGAAAGAGCAAAACAGAGAGATAAGCATCCCCAATGAGGTCTGTATACTGTGATCCATTCCCAGTGACAATCGACCTATACCATGGGTGCTCACTTATGTACTCAGTATACTCAGGGAGGTCCTAGGATGTGAACCCAGGAGCATTCCTATGCAGGTCTAGTTGTCTTACTGCTTTACCATGCTCTGGCCCCTCTCTACGTAATTTAATAGTGTGTTTGAAAGCATTACCCTAGGAAATACTGGAATTTAGTTAGGGTACTAGTTAGACTTCAGACTCTTAATACACTTGTGTTTGGCTCCCGGATCTGCTGTAGATGAACTAGTTTACCTGAAGCAAGTCACTTAAACATATCTGATAAATGGGAATAATAATATTTTCTGCCTCAAAGGATTTTTTATAAGATAACATCTATTGATTAATTTCTAGATTACTCTTTGAATTGCTGTTTCTTATCAGTAGGAACAGGAGGACCTACAGCACCAACGGTGAGAGAGAAAGCTGAAAGCACTTCTGGAAACATGGACACTGGAGCTACAAGCCCAGGAAAATCAGGCAAGCCAGGACACATACTCTAATGCCTTTTAACTGGACACTACTATCAAAACATGTAGGCTTTTGGATAAATGATGGAACTTTCTAGAATATGGAAGTTTTGGCTTGAATTTCCCAATCTCTCTTGTCACCATTTCTATATATTGAAACCAGTACTGTGTTTCTTAGGTACGATGGGAGAGTCCCCGGGAACCACCACAAGAGCAGGTGAGGAAAGTACACCTGGAGCTTCAGGCATTGGGACCTCCAGTACTGGAAACCCAGCAGGCAAGACAAAGCCCTCTTGGGAGCTGTGGTGGGGGTCTAACTCTAGTTTTGCCCAGATCTCAGAACATGACAATGAGATTGAGTAAAGGTAAGCAAGGAGAACACTTTAGGACCTAGCAATGTGAATAAACTATTATGCCTCCTGAAAGATTGTTTTCTTCCTATCTGTATGCATTATAAGCACCATTATTCTTCCAATTAGGAACAACTGGAGGAGCAGATGCAGTCACTACTGGATCTGCCATGGAAAACACATCTGGAAGAGCAGGTACTGAAACAGCAGGAAATCCAGTCAGGATACATGTGAGCCTTCTGCTCAAAATTTAGTCAGGCATAACGTTTCCTGGGAATCCAGACATTATCTGTGCAAAGTCAAGGGTCCAGAAGATTAGAAATATACCAACAAATATGCGTTGTGTATCTAACATTGCGTTAGATACTCTTTGCATTATAGGAAAAGAATAGGCAATATATCTGTTCTCTCTTTGCTTTGGAGAGGGAGGAATTAATATTCATATAGATGTAGAAGACAAAGAATTAGCAAGACAGGAGCTAACCAAGTGGGGAAAGGTGCATGCTAGAGCACAAGGCAATTCTAGTAAGTGACATCAAATTATCTATAGGACTACTAGCTTTTACTAAGAAAGTTTACTTGTGAGCAATCAGTACGTCATCAGGGTTACCTGATTTTCCTGACTTACCTTGAACAAAAACTTAACACTCCAGTGAAGTTTATGAGATAGATGCATCCATGCATTTTTTTTTTTAAGGAAAAAAGCAGGTTACTTATATAAGAGGATATAACTTTCTGCTATGTTTAGCTGATTGTTTTTCCCTCTGATATAAAAATTAGGCACATGTGGGGTATCATCTGGAGCAATCCCTGAAGCTAGAGTAGTAGTACCCCTGAAGAAGCAAACACTGGGGACACAGGTTTAGATAGGGTTGGCTAGGCTGGACATGATGCCATAGCCACTTCCAATGGTGCCCTCTTGCAGCAGGAGATGGGCTGTAAATTCAGGTTCTCACAGGTTTTAAAATGTAGGGTTGAGGAAAGTTGAAGGGATATAGTCTTTCTTTTTCTTTGTCTGAAAATTCTGAAGTATTCAGAGATGGTGGAAATAACATGCACACTCTCCATCTCCTTGTTGTTAGCTTCAGGAACCACAGCAGTTTATGCAGGTTCTACTACTGCTAGCTCTGGAGTCTCAGCTATACCAGCCACAAACTCTGACAGCAGCAAATCAGTTAAGTAAGGAGGAAATCAGGCCCTCTTTGGTGGTACAGTTGGTAGCCAACTGAACCATAGTGTTGAGAGTCATACAGCTTATTGTGGGTTCAGATCTGGTAGGCTTGAAAACACACCAGATGCATGAGTGCAAACATGCACCCAAGATCCTGATCAGGAGGATCAAAGTAAGCAGTGGCATGATGAAACCCTGTCAAGAGTGCTTCTCTCATGAATGTGCTCTCTAACATGATTAAAATAAATAAACCTTAAAAAAAAGGAGAAATCAATGATTATTGAGGAATGTGTGGGGTCTGTCCTCCTTCGAATAGGAACATTGTAAAGAATGGAAAAGATCACCAAGAGACTGGTGTTAGGGAGGCCTGTTATTGAATAACAGCCCTACAGGTAGAGAGCAGAATCTGTTCAGGCACTAGAATCTCTGCATATGCTTACAGGTCATACAGATTCCAAGACTTCTGTCCTAGAAGTCCCGAGACAGTAAGTCAGGAGTGGGGCGTGCTTTATAATCCCATCTACTGATTAAAATCAACTGTAGAAAGTTTTAGAAATACATACTGAAAAGTCCTTCACAACTAATAGAATCTGAAACCCCAAGAAAAAAAAGGACCATTTTTTTTTTAAGAGAGATTTTTGCTATAGGGTGTGTGCACTCACCAGAGAGACAGAGAGAGATGGAGAGACAGAAAGCAAGAAATCACCCTCCACGAGGGATGGCCATGCAGCAATCCCTTCTCCTCCATTCTCCTCTCAGGATTTTGGGCATGCATGCATGCATGCCTGGCGTGAGTTTTAAGATGCTGGCTCTGGGACTCAGACCATGGTCAACCGCGTGGGAATCCAGTGACATAAACACTACACCATGTGCTAGAGAATCATCATCATCATTATTATTATTATTACTGTCCTCGGTGCATGCACTTGCCAGAGAAAGATGGAGACAGACAATGAGAGGGCAAGTGAGAAATCACCCCTTGAGATGAATGGGCACACTGTAATCTCTTCTCTAATTCTCCTCTTGGGACTTTTAAGCATGCATATACACACATGCCTGGCATGATTTCCAAGCCACTAGGTGTGGGAATCAAACCACAGTGGGCCACATTGTTGTCCAGTGCCTTAACAACAATGTTGGCCTCTAGGCATCAGTATTTTTTTTTTTTAACACTCTTTATTTATTTATTTGTCATGATTTTCAAGCCACCGGGTCTAGGACTCAAACTATAGTAAGCCATATGGGAATCCAGTGCCTTAACTAGTATTACTTAAAAGCCCCAGTTAGTTCCAATATGCCACCTGGGCTGAGAACCACTAGGCTCCAATATCTGAATATTAGACAAATAACTAATAAACAAGCTTATTATGAGCAGCAAGTAAGTATAATCAGGGATTTTAACACTGGTACAGATTCTCTCAATCAGGAAAGAGTGAGAGACAGAGAGAGATGGAGAGACAGAAAGCAAGAAATCACCCTCCACGAGGGATGGCCATGCAGCAATCCCTTCTCCTCCATTCTCCTCTCAGGATTTTGGGCATGCATGCATGCATGCCTGGCGTGAGTTTTAAGATGCTGGCTCTGGGACTCAGACCATGGTCAACCGCGTGGGAATCCAGTGACATAAACACTACACCATGTGCTAGAGAATCATCATCATCATTATTATTATTATTACTGTCCTCGGTGCATGCACTTGCCAGAGAAAGATGGAGACAGACAATGAGAGGGCAAGTGAGAAATCACCCCTTGAGATGAATGGGCACACTGTAATCTCTTCTCTAATTCTCCTCTTGGGACTTTTAAGCATGCATATACACACATGCCTGGCATGATTTCCAAGCCACTAGGTGTGGGAATCAAACCACAGTGGGCCACATTGTTGTCCAGTGCCTTAACAACAATGTTGGCCTCTAGGCATCAGTTTTTTTTTTTTTTAACACTCTTTATTTATTTATTTGTCATGATTTTCAAGCCACCGGGTCTAGGACTCAAACTATAGTAAGCCATATGGGAATCCAGTGCCTTAACTAGTATTACTTAAAAGCCCCAGTTAGTTCCAATATGCCACCTGGGCTGAGAACCACTAGGCTCCAATATCTGAATATTAGACAAATAACTAATAAACAAGCTTATTATGAGCAGCAAGTAAGTATAATCAGGGATTTTAACACTGGTACAGATTCTCTCAATCAGGAAAGA